TAAAGCTTTTTTTTTTGTACACAGCTAGGGCGGGAAGTGCTTAATCTCTTTTGTTGGACTAATCATTTTCTTTTTTGTCTGTGTGTACAAGTACAGTGAATGTGTGTTTTTATTTAATTTGGGTTTTTGTTATTTTTGTTTTGCAGCTATATTCAAGCGTAGCAGTGGTGTATGTGTTCTAGTCATGTTTAATGTTAAAAAATAAGAATCTGCTCAGGATAACATACATGTAAGATCAGGAAACGATGATACATTACTAATGCAAACAGTTTAGACTAATATATAGTTTGAATCAAACTAATTAAAAAATAGCAAACAAATATTCCTACATTTCAACCCCTACACTGTATTAAACGGCCATCCTCGGGGAAATAGATAGTGGCCACTCAAAGGGGGCTGGCCACTTAATAGAGGTAAAACAATAGAAAAGCTCTCATTGGGACTTTGATTTAACTGGCTGCCTATAAGGGGTGGCTGTTTAATGGGTGGCTGCTTAATGGGGGTTCGACTGTATTTCAGTTTCCTATTGTGCATAATTTTGATGGCTGTCAATTTTCTCAAAATCTTCATGAGGTTCAATGGTTAGGAGTAGAGACTAATCTTGCTTAATGTAAGGCCTCAATTTCCAGGATTAAGTCGTCTTGCACACACAAATGTGCCTTTGGGTAGAAGTACATTAGTCAAGACAAATCCCTTTTATAGTTACTGAATACAGTTGGAGAAGTCGTAATCATAATTTTTTCATTTCAGAAGCAATTTTTTTTAGGCCAAAAATTATTCCTGTTGTGCAAGATGGAGTGATAAGATAAGGATGTAAAATGAGGTAATCCCTCATTTACTCCCTGGTTCAATATCTCCATTCCCCTTCCTGTCTTTGGACATTTTCGATAATCTTTGCGAGAATGTGTGTGACAATCAGCTCACGAGAAGTAGAGGTAGTGCTGGGGATTTAAGGGTTAAAACAAACAAGGGTGCTATTGGAGAGTACAAGTTTTGTAACAGGGATTTTAAATTTGTATTATCCTTCATAATGGAATTGCATTTCCATAAGCATACATTACTCTGGCTGGATAGTTTTATGTAGGTGATTGTTTGGAAATAATTTTATGAACTGGTAGCTGTAAAGTTTGATGTATTGTTTTCATCTGCATAGAAGTTTGACTATCCATCATTATGTTTTCTGATCACCTCTACAAAGTTAATAAAGAATTTTGATTCAGCTGTAGATCTGTGAATGAACTGTGATATGTCATACTTGTAGGAGTGTGTAATCTTAATAGAAATGATATCAGAGCTATAGGGTGAAAATTCTGTAATATTATATTGCCCTAAGATGCTATGATTTGTAAAAACAATTTCTGGACATTTAAGAAACTGCCAGAGTGTCAATAAAGTTTGAAATGAATACATGATATGTTGGTGTGGTTTGTCTATTTTTAAGAAGAGGTTATTGACAAGTTCCCTGACATCTGACTGCAGACTATCAACTTATTATGACTTGTGTTTGTAGCCGATATAATGTCCTCTGATTGGCTAATACTAGGGCATTATTCTCCCATAATGTCCACAGGCCAATTATAAGCCTGCAAAAACTAAGCAAAATGCCATAAAACAAAAACCAAAAAAAAAAAAATTGAACTGTCGGTCTTTATGGGAAAATCTTAAACCTTGGTCTTGCCATATAGACCTCGCTATCACTCAATCAATACCGTAAGGTCTCAGTTTGAGATTTTTCTGTAAAGACCTCACTCGCGGTTAATAAGTAGTCAATACAGATGCAGTAAAGCTGACCACAAGAAATTTTATTCTTTCGGGTCAACAACGATAAGAGGGTTTAATGGAAGGGAGAGGGAGAAAATAATAACACTAATAACAAATTATTCTGCATCATCCTTACACTGGAAGCAGTCCCATAATCATGTTCATTAGTAAAAAGGACTGGATGGCATTTCCACCCAGGGCTGAGCTCCATGTTAACACACTTCAACCATCATCTGGACGTGACGCACACATTGTGGGTGTGAAGTTATAGATATCAACCTAAATTTCTGGAATTATCAGTACTGGAATTCAGGTTCACTTAAATTCAAGAGTTATATGCTTGACCAGTGCATGCATATTTGACAAAACAAATTTATAAACTGTTCAGTAATATATTGAAATTGAGCTAACCCCACTCTTATAGCTCTACAACATGTATTTTACTTTCAAATATTTTAATTTTCATATTTCTAATTATTTTTTTTTCCGTTCAATTTTCTATCCTTGTTTTCTTGAACATACATGTAACACAGTAGAAGTATGCTTCTGAATGGAAGTTAAAATGTTATTTGCCTGTACTGTTTATTTCATGGTGTTGTAGAATGTAGCTGACCACCAGAAGCCCCATGGCCCTAACTGGTGAACATGAATTTTAGGGCTTTCAACTTTTCTCTCAATAGCCAGCCTCCTGTGGGTAAGGGTTAACCCCGGATGATACTTCTTCCACAAAAAATGGACTTGACAAACAAATGGAAACCTTCCTTGTTTAGTTGGATTTTGGAAGAATGTACCACTCTTTAAAGCAGTTATCTCCTTGTGAGATAATTTGAATCAAAGATAGGCCGTGCTTTTCTGCATTTAGTTTTCTGTCACTGCGCATGTTCAGAAACCTTTCTGTAGCTTCAATGAGCCCCTATCCATTCCTCTTCAAGGCAAGCCCTGAGATATGTATCAAACTGCTGAACTAATGACGAATCCTCTACTTTGGTGACAATTCTAAGCAGCTTTGTAGCAACATCAATTACAGCTTCAACCAGGAAGAAACTTTGTCCAGAAGCCTGTTGAGACATATTTTCATCATTTTAATGTTTTCAGTTAAAATTATGACACAAATTGACATTTATTTAGTTCTTCATGTGTCTGTTGTATCATTGATCATGAAGTTTGTCATAACATTGTCAAAGTAGCTGTGGATCCACAAGGCGATAACCAAGTTGATCTGCAGACTAAATGTACTTTGACAATGTTATGACAAAATTCACTGTCCATAACAGGACAGATGCATGAAAAACTGACATCAATTTGTTTTTTTACAAGAACAAAACGGCAGAACAGACAAAATTTAGTCAATACTTGAGAAATTCATATGTCTGGCTGCTTATTGACAATGAAATTTAGCTAATGAGAGCACAAGAATTTCTGCAGTTATTGACAAGTACAATAAATTTTACCCCTTCCCCCCACCCCCTAATCATCTTTTGATAGTACAGAAGTGATGGAGTTCAGGGTTTAGGACTCCAAAAGATGGATATTTCTTGCATAATTTAAAAGATTGTCGTATTAACAGGGCAGCCCTTAAGGGCGAGTTTCACTCTTTTAGCCAAGTAGGGCTCCAGGCATCCCGTGGACAACTGCCTTTTAGAGAAAATATATTTTTCACATTTTATAAGTACTTGCTGGCTTGGGCTGACCCAATAGCAAATTATTTTGGACCCCAAATTGTCAAATCCTGCATAAGACCTCTTTCACTCTACTTAGAAACCATATTTCCTCTTCGAGAAATCCTTAAAAATAAAGGAGGAATTTCTGACTTCAATATCAACCCTTAAAGTGCATGTGCCTCCCTTGTATTCACCTGACCAACTACTATACTGTCCCCCTCACTTCGAGAGGTGATCCTAGATCAATGTTTTATTTAATGGAAACAGATCTATTATAATTTTAAAGATTTTCCGGAGTACCTGTTGTGCATAGAAGAAATATTTCTGAACAGATTGACCAGGAGGGCTGCTCGCCATCAAGGAAACCCTATATTCTGAGAAATGTTGCTGAAACTCCTCAGGAGTGGATGGAAGATTAGCCATAGTTTCCTCCCAACTGGAGCTAAAAGTACAAAAGGTAACTGTTAGAACATGTAAGCCCAACATTGAGCTAGAGGGAAAGGCCTTGTTTCTTGGTTTCTGGATTGATAGCAATTTTCATTCTTCCTACCTTTTTTCTTTGGGGAGGGGGTGGGGGCGATAATCCAATATAGAGAAGAGAGAGAAATGTATCAGATTGTTTGTTACTTTGTTCTTTCCAAAGTCAAAGCTGGGCAATCTTGTATTATCTTCTCCAGACAATTTTGTTTGGCACTTTAAAAGATAGATAACTAATAAAAGAAAAAGCCAAGAAGATTGCTACAAAGGAGCTGGAGTGAGAAGAAGAGAAAGAGGACAAAGTAGACAAACAAGAGAAAAAGAACAAGAGGGAGGAAGAAAAGAAGAATGGGAGCAAGAGCAGGGGCAGGGGGAAGAGGTGTTGTTACATGTACATACTGTGGTTGTGGCAATGTGGCTCAGTCCATACATTAAACTTGAACTCTGCTCATCTTGCGTTCAAGTCTTGTAGTCTAATAACCCCATAGGCCATGTGAATTAAGCCTGCTTAAGGTTGTTTTCACCTTTGTGGAAGGCATTTCCATTTCTGCTCAAACTGGGCAGGTGTCAAGGCTGGATGATCACTCAGTTCAAGGGAGTCTTCTCCTTCTTCCCTGTCTTCCTCTTGTTGTTCATTTACATCATCTCCCTTTGAATCAGCATAGGTAATATGTTTTTAAATTTTCATGAAGGGAAATTTCAAACTTCAAAGTTACCTAGTTATGGTTTTTGAACTGTCCTTTTGTTTTCTTTTCTTCCTCTTTCATAATATAGTTATCATATAGCAGCTTGCTATCATAACTGTTGATGAAAACCACAATCTTAGGTTTAATCCTTTATGAAGAAGTTTAATTCCACAAAAGCTAAGTAAAATGTTATCCCAATTACCATGCTTTTGCATTTGTGTTGTTTGACATGAGAATGAAATACCAGTAGATTGCCAACAGTAACATGGTAATGTGAAGGAGGCAGAGTTGGTTCTTCTGCTTCTATATCTTCCTGTTGATGTGACAGTCTTTCATCTCCTGTTAAAATACGAAATCAATATTATTGTTAAGTAGTATTACGGTAACAGTATTGTCATGAAGTGTGATATCGATTGTGTGCAAGAGGTAAAGTCTACATAGTCAAGCCAAGTGGCCCATCACACTAGCGCTTATCTCTGGTTTCTGTAGCATGAAGCTACTAGGAGTAGTTCTGCTCCTCCCTAGATGGGATGCTAGTCCATGGCAGGGTTACCCCCAGTAGTAAAATTTTGCCGGCACCCATTAATTTTATACACCTGGGTGGAGAGAGGCACTGTGAGAGCAAAGTGTCCTGCCCAAGAACACAACATCCCTGGCCAGGGCTCAAATCTGGACTGCTTGATCCAGAGGTGAGGGCACTAACCATGAGGCCACTGTGCCTCCACACTACGTACATGAAACCTCCATTAACTACCTAGTACTGTCAGAGCACTAATTTCCATCATCAAGATGTTTATCACCATAAGTTGTTCTCCATGTTACACCAGGGTGCAAAGAAAACCAATTTTCAAGCTTGCCCTTTGGGTGCACTGTAACTATGTTGTACTAGGCAAAAACTCATTCTCACTAACCTCCCAAAGTTTCTTAATTGCGCGATGAATTAAATACTTCAATTATTGATTTTGTATCTTACAGTTCTTCTGTAATTTGGATTCCATCCCCCCCCCCCCCCCCCCCCCCCCNTGTATCTTACAGTTCTTCTGTAATTTGGATTCCACCCCCCCCTCCCCCCCACCCCAATCTCCCAGTAAAGCTTCACTTGCCCATCAGGCAAGCAAGGAAAAGAACCCAACTGCAAAATCTACTTCCCCAGCCTATAATGCAAACTTCTCTTTGAATGCTGTTACATCAGGGTAAAAACTATGGGGAATTTACTGTCTGTAGAGAGACTTCAACCGAGTTTCCTGCTAGACTGAAATAGGGAGCTTAAGCAATGACGACAGCAATGCCGAGGATGGCAAGTATTCCAAAATGAATTACATCTTACCAGTGAAATTTTCTGTTGTCTAGATCTCTTCAGGATGTCAATGGCTCTAAAAACAGTCTCAGGCTAAATGTTACAACTGTGTTCAATTCCAAGTGGGAATATGAAAAACTAGCCATTGTTGTTCATGTTCCTCACTGCACGCAGAACTTGGTCATTTCACATTCTTGGTTTTCAGAGGATGGCTAAGAAATGTACAAAGATTTATAACACACTTGGACAAGTATTGTTTTGCTCATTAAACCTTTTGTTTGGTGACACTCTTGTTGCCGTCGCCGTCATGGTTTGCTTAAGCTCCATAATATCATAAAGAATAACGAATGCAAGCATAGCTGATCTTACCTTCTTCTTGTGTGTATGGCTGTCCTTTGATGTAAGGTATGGTTTGACTAATGAAGTGATCTGATGGCTGTCTATATATTATTGACAGTGTGTTGAATTCCTCAAAGACGTGTTCCTATAACAATATGTCTTCAGCTGTATCAATGTCAACAGTGCAAATTTTGTTTCGCACACGAAAGGATTTTATTAAAAGCACAAAGAAAGAACAATTTACAATAACTGCAGAAATTCTTGCATGCTCATTGGCTAATTTTCATGTCAGTGAAGTCAGTTTTTCATGCATCTGTCATTCTAATATTGATCAGGNAAAAGAAATGAATAAACATGGTCATTCAATTTCCATTGTTTGTGTCCTCTAAGCCTCACTGCCAAGCTGAATTTTAATATATCGAAAGTGGTCTATTCTAAAATATTCCTCTATATTCTAGAAGGAAATATTGGTGTGAAACTCACCTACACAAAACTTGAGAAGTCGACCCAGCATATCTTGACATTCAGGTGGTTTCTTGAAAAATAGTTTCATTGTTGCAGTAAGAAGCTGTAACTTCACTTCTGCTGATTGTTCCGAGGCAATTTTGTCCACAAGAGGTTCCAACATATATGGACTGTCAGCAATTGACTATACAATGACCAATTCAAGAACTGATAAGTGCATGACATTAACCAGAGGAACTTCTGAAGATGTGAAACTATTGATTTGGTACCTAAATATTTAATTAAAAGTCTACCTACAGTTGTTGTAATTTTCCTTTTTATATAGACTGAATTTATGATATAATATAATAACAAGTTATGCAACTTCACGCTGATTTGATGCTGAAACACATTCGTGGCTCATGACCAATTCTGCACTGCAAAATTTCTGTAGATGATGAATTTCCTGTGGATATGTTTTTTTTTTTTTCATTTCCTGTGGATAACTTCATATCTTCCTTGCAGTAGTTATATTCCACTGTGATAGTACCTGTCCATACTCTCCCAGAATCCAAATGATAGCAGATAAACCCTTAGGATCCTGAACTATTTCAAGGCATTGTGACATCTGGGGTAGAACAGCAATGGTTAACTTTTCATACTTAAGAAGCAAGTCTGCAATAACACAAACAAACAGTATTATGACTAAAAAGTCCCACCAAAATTGCATTTTGCTAAAAATCATAAAAAGGGTTTGTATCCCTTTTCAGAAACAAATTTCCAGGACTCAGATAGATTTTTCTAGGACTCTAAAATCACAATAACCCTTTAACTCCCAAGATCTCAAATGAATGTTAATTCCCCTTACTGTCTGCCATACATTTCATTTTATCACTTGAGTTTAACAGATTTCCAGGACCATTAGTTTTTCTGCAGAACGTTCAGTCCTGGAAAATGCCACAATAAAATTCCAGGACTTTCCAGGTTTTCTAGGACCTGTACAAACCCTACATAAATCAATTTCTCTCTCTGGGCTCAATTCTTTTCTGGTGAAACCACAAAAAAGAGAAGAAAACTCTGTTGTGGCTTCACTGCCTGTGGTTTGATACATTGCTATAATTATCATTGGCATTCCATTGCAAAGCAAAGCATTTCCAAGAAAAATACCAGCAACTAATATAGTTTACTTACCTCTGATGACAACAAGAGTCTCTGATGTAATGTACTCAATTTCCCAGGAGAGAAATGTAAGAAGTACATCAATACAAAACTCTGATGCCTGAGGGAGACACAGGGCGATTTCACCAATAGCTTTGATTGACTTCTTGGACATTTTAATGTCTACGTCATGAACATGAGCACTGTAGGGTTAAAAATTTTTAAAAATTTAAGATACTTAAATTGAACAAGAAAACTATATTTTAATTCAGCTGGAAATTGACTTGAAGTAGGGTTAATGGTGTGTTTTAAAAAACATCCAAGACCATTACCACCATAGCCACCCCTGCAAACCTTGCGAGGGTGGCGAAGGTGGTGAAGGTGGTGAGGGTGATGAGGGTTGTGAGGGTGGCAAGGGTGGCGAGGGTGACAAAGGTGGCGAGGGTGGCAAGGGTAGTGAGGGTGGCCAGGCTGGCTGGGGTGACCAAGGTGGCAAAGGTGGCCCAGGTGGAGAAGGTAGTTAGGGTGGTGAGGGTGGCAAAGGTGGTGAGGGTGGTGAAGGTGGTCAGGATGGCAAGGGTAGTGAGGGTGGCCAGGGTTGTGAGGATGGCAAAGGTGACAAATGTGACCAGGGTGATGAGAGTGGCCAGGGTGGCCAGGGTGGCAAAGGTAGCTAAGGTGGCCAGGGTCGACAGGGTTGCCAGGGTGGCGAGAGTGGCAAAGGTAGCAAGAGTAGTCCACCAGGGTGGCCATTAAATTATTAAACCATGTCCATTCTAACACACACCTCAACTCAGTAACAACTTCTTCAACATTAGAAACTGATGCCATAGTTGTAATAATATCAAGCTTTTTTGTTTTAACATACTGTGGATCCGTATGCCTTGAAAAATGAGAACAATAATATCATTTTAAAATTGCACTAGGGTACCTGTAAGTAGGTATAAGTGGACATGACCTAAATCAAGACAAATATCACCATGACCCAAAAGGAAATTTTCCTGTGTCATGAGTTTTTTAAACACTTACTTTATTTCAACAATTACTATAGCAGCTGAAATACATGATGATAGTCTCCTGTTTGCTTGCAACTGTTGATATGGAGCAGGCTGCACCCATTTTCAAGAACCACTTTGCCACAACAGTATATGGTGTATGTTTGATATTTTGAGCTAAAGGGTTTAACAGTGAATGATGACTTTTGTGCAGCTAAGTCTATGTAATTTAGGCCAAGTTAAACTTGAGACAACTGATGGCCAGCAGATTCCCTATCTTGATGTGTGGTGGTCAGATGGTACTGGAGGAGCCCTTGTGATTTATCAGTAACAGCGCTCAGATTGAGGTTAGGCCTTGTGATGCATCATGTTTTCAATCGTTACCCTCCATGGTTAGTGCGGCTCCAACCACCAGCCTCACAGGTACCTTATCCATGCTCAATATAAATTATTGTCAGTGAATTTAATTATCATTTTCTAAAGAGTGAAGAATGGATTGAAATAATTCAATTGTAACTACTAATTAAGTATTACCTGGAGAAAAATGAGCGGTATTCCTGATCAAACAAGTTCGGCATTTTGGTTAGCAAGAGTTCTATGTGGCACAAACACACGTAAACCAACTCTGAGTTACTTGATGAGAGAATGACCATCAGAGGACCTATCAAAAAAGACAGCAACCCTATTTAATTTTAGTAACACTTCTTATCAGCTAATAAATAGCCATAGTTCACAATTGATGATAATTTACGAAATAGTTTTGGTATTTGTTTTAGTTTTCTTATACAAGTTGCAAATACAAAGCACATTTTTCAGTGGTTTGGGGGCTTCTCCGAGGGTGAAAATGAAAAAATCACTTTAGTTGAAAAATATAAATCCACACAAACTAAAAGTTGTGTTTTCTAAAATAGTTTCCAGAGAGCTTCCTTGTGACAAAGTTTGGGGGAATTCCACTTTTCCATTTTGCACACATATCCGTAGTATTTACAGGAAGTCACTCTTAAGACATGGCCTAAGGGTTGCTGGTGCAGCATTAAATGTTGGATGTTATGGGTGTAATTTTAAATTTTGACACAAAAGTTAAAAAATCTTGAAAATTAAAGAATCTGCAATTTAAATACTGTAACGTTTTGATAATCTTTGTAAAAAAAAACCATCCCGAATAATACTAATGTTACAAATTTACCTTTAATTCTCTTGTAAACATGTTCAGTTAACTCTTCCATGTCTTTTGTCATGTGGATAACCAGTCGTATACAAGCCATTACAACTGCACTGTTAGGGTGGCTCAAGCGATCATCAAGCAAGTTCTATAATAAATCATTCCAAATCCACAGCCATCAATATTGCTACAATTTTGCTATAATGAGCAATATGCAAAATGCAAGAAGAATTAATGCAACACAACAATATAAATTTCACATAACAATCTTTACACAAAATGACTTATTAATAATGCTGGAGAAGATCCCTCTGAATTTCAAAGGCTCAAGGGATGTAAAATCTTGATGAAATGTTTGAGTTGTGTTCAGAAGCAAGTTTAAGATGCTTCAGTTATCAAGAACCTACTGTTACAGGGGTTTTATTAAGGGCCAGGCACCAGGCAAATGGACTGCCTGTGAGGACCATTTTGCCTGCCTGCACAAGGTTTTGCTGACAAAGNAAGTTTAAAAAAAATGAAGAAAATTAAGACTTCTATACATTGGGTTTGCCAACTCCCTAATAGATTAGTACACAAACTTTTAAACTATTAAGCAACCCTTGATAGAGTTTGTGATTGTTTTCTTGGAAGTCTTTTTCTTGTAATGGCTAATGTTGGTGAAACAGCCCAAAGGGTTCAACTCTCAGAAGTGTAGTTACATTTTCTTTAAATTTTATTAATGTATTGTCAGTTGTTTAGGTGACTAACTTGTGTCAACAATATCTTAAGTAGCATCGTGTTTACCTCCTTAATAAGTTATGAGCAAGCTTTTTATTCACTAGTAATCCACCCTCGGCTGCAAGGATTTCATCCAAAGCTGCGATGCAGTTGCACACTACCTACATGTAAAGAGAAAGTAGTCAGAACAGTTTTCAACTGAGTGTCATTAAAACTAAAACGTTGAAATCTCTCTGACCAATCACATATCACACCTCAGAAAATCTAGTGACTAATCAAACTCAAAGCAATTACACAGGGAGCTGATGCACAGCATGGGAAAATGTGGGTAAGTGAGTCATGATTGGTTTTGGTTTTACTTCTCACTGGATGATAAAGTGGTGCGAGTTTTTTGAGCCAATTGTGTAGCGTAGTAATGTAAAATAAAAGCAAAAGCAAAGTACTTCCCATACTACTCTAACATATAATAATACATAAAAGATTAAATTCAACACTTGTAACTAATTTTCTTTAAAAATGAAAACAAACCAAACTGAAAACCAAATAATTGTTCATGAATGTGACACATACAATGTACATGTAGATAATGTCACTAAAGTACTCCCAGAAAAGCATGATTGTGCAGTTCTGGAAAATGTCCATACTCCCCCTCCCAGTAGGGATTGGAATTTCCAGGGGGGGGGGGGTTGGGAGTTCCATAAGACCAAAAAATTTAAGAACTGTTTGAAACTTAATTGGGCTCTTGGAAAAAATCCCTTCCATGGGGGAGGTAGGGATATTTTATGGAACTTCACATTAGGACAATCTTTTTTTTTTAATAAAGCTACTAGTTACAAACCTGAACATCTGGGTCTGTTAACAGACTGCAAAGTTTATCTATGATTCCATTATCTGTTGTGATACAATTGACACAGGTATAGAAATGTTCAACAACTGAGCCTAGAGTATTCATCTAGGCTGTGAGAATGTGTAAAAGGAAATGTTATTGTTTTTACAGTAATTAAAAGTAATAAGATTATAAAAATGAGTACTGTCACACTGTCCTTCACCAAATTACCATGGACAAATCATTATGGTCTATGAAGAACCGTTTTTTGTTTTGGACATGCACTACAGTTGAACCTCTACCGCTATTAAACAGCCACCTACATGTATTAAGTGGCCAGTTATCAAAGTCCAGAAATTATTGTCAATAAAATACTTGCAAATAAAATCTGTATTAACCGGCCAACTCTATTGAGTGGCTGCAGCTAACTTTTGGTCGTCCTGATGAGCGGCCACCACAAAATTTAATACATTTAGCCTTGTTTTGGAAAAGGGGATGAAAGAAAAGAGTCCGAAAAAGAAAGTGATGACTGATGAAAACATTCAGACAAAAGTAAATCATGTACAATGTGTAATATATCAAACACGAGAGACAGTGTTTCATTAGGATATCCAAACACCAAGAAGAGAGTTGAAAATGTGACACCCAGCAGAGTATTTTTGACCAAATTTGAGGTGTTTGGATAGCTGATGAAACACTGTCTCGAGGGTTTGATATATTTTCTCAATCAAAACAAAAACTAAGGAGTAAATGGATAAGTAAAATCATTCAAATCTCTGCTAATTAAGACAGGGCATCCAAACCTCCTTAACGGTTGTGATTTTTTTTGTTTTAACTTGATGAATTATTATTAAATAAATGAGTTTGAGAAGATTATAATCTTGGCTTGATTCCATGTTCACTAAGAAATTAACCTGATGGTAAAAAAATATTCAAAGTATACTACCCCCTCCCATTTCCCTGAGGGTGGCTGCTTAATAAAGGTCTGATGGTAGCATAAAACAGAGGAATCAGGAATAAAGACAACACAGAATAGTAAATTTCTTACCTTCAACAAAGTCAGGAATAAGATGGTATAATTTCACACATCCCATAACTGCACAACGACGCACATAAGAACTATTATCACGCAAACCAGTAAGAAGAGGCTCCACAATATATTCTACAAGATCTGGAAGCCTGCAGGGGACAGCAAGAAAACACAACTGCCAAATTTGCTTCTGCTTTGAAATACAAACATGTCTGAAACCAGTNCATTATCAGGGAGCAAGGATGGTACAGTGGCGAGAGTGCTCGCCTCCCACTAATGTGGCCCGGGTTCAATTCTGGCCCGGTGTCACATGTGGGTTGAGTTTGTTGTTGGTTCTCTCCTTGCTCTGAAAGTTTTTCTCTGTGTTCTCCAGTTTTCCTCCTTCCACAAAGCCTACCCCAAAAATTTCAATCCGACCATGATAGAGGACCTTCATGTAAACCAACTAAGACTGATGTGGCTTCTTCTCTAAATATTGTAATTTATTATTTTATTTACTTACAGTATTTAATTTCTGGATAAAATTAAAAATAATACATTGATTAGCCTAGCTAATCTTTACCATGGCTAGCAGTAGAATAAGCTTTATTATAACATAACTGAGTTACTACGCGCGCTCTCATTGGTCGATAGGTGTGTTTAGATGAGAGTATGTACACACAGTTGTGATGTTTTAGATTCACGCGTATTTTTGAGAATTATTTTATAAAAGCAATAGAACACTTTTTCCATGTTTACATAGCCTCATCTAAACACTCTGTGGTGGGGAGAATTCTCGAAAGTTATGCAAACCCTTGACTACATCTCGGGTTTGCATAACTGTCTTGAATTCTCCAAACACTCCTCGTGTTTAGATGAGGCTATGTAAACACGGAAAAAGTGTTCTATTGCTTCTGTCTAGATTAAGCTTATATTCTTTACTTTTTTACCTTTATCATGTCCATGAACAGGGAAGATAAATCCATCCCTAAAGTCATGCATGAGATCACCTTTTGAATGACTTTCCTGTACAGAGAAGCATCTCGTTGCACCTCAGCTGACTGTAGGCTCTTCTTTAATTCACTAACTTCTCCCTTCTTATTTGATTCGCTGAAAAATGTCGTTGAGCTGGTCGACATGTTGAATCGAATTCTCAACTGCTGGAATATCGTACATTTGACTTGACAAGCCTTCAAAATATCACTCTCTCAATCATCTGCAAGCTATTTTAACGATGTAAAAATCATTTCCAGTTTGAATTTGCCATTCTTAACCCTGCAAAATGACCAAAAAAACATTCCTTTTTGAAGTAGGTGAAGTGCCAATAGTGAAACGAGCGCCCTTGATTTTCCCCGTTAGAGACACTCAGTGTTGTCCTACATGAACGATACGCTATACTGGAACAGTTTCCAATCTTCCTCGATCAAACAAGCAGGCCTGGCTGATTAGGAAAGAAACAGAAAAAGATGGCAGCCTTCAACAATGTCTTATTTTTCTGTAAATAGTTCGTTAACGGAGTGCAGATCTCCAGGAATCGCGATGTGCAGTTGGTGATTATGTGATCTATACGTTCTTCTCTATAAGGAAGAAATAAGAAAAAGAATTATCCCTTCACATGGCTTCCGCAAAAGAAGTCCGAGCTACAACGCATGTGAGTTTCGTATGCCAAAGATGCTACCAACCCTTGAAGCTGGATCATTCTTTGTTGTCTTTGGATGGAGAAACGATTGCAGAACTCACAGGTTTGATTGAAGCATTGAAAGCGAATAAACATCATTAGATTGTCTTGAGAACTCTAACTGTAATTGCAGTCCGGCCCGTTGCAGTACATTCTGTATTTGTGAAAGTTGGACCTGAAAGTTCACTGTCAGTGTATTTAATAAATCTGAATAAATGTAAGGTTTTAAAATAAAAAATTCCTACATGCAATAATCTGCTTTATGTACTGTACTGGCAACTTTCTAACAGTTCTGTCAGTTTGATTTGACCAAATTACAGACAAAATATGAGAAGTATGGGATACAGAGTTGACAGGTTTATGTGTAATCTAATAACATGTTTCAGTGTATAAATAATTAACAAATTGACATCAGTTTTTCATGTGTCTGCTCTGTTATTGATCATGAAATTCGTTACAACATTGTCAAAGTGGCTGTGGATCCACAAGGCGATAGCCGAGTGGATCCACAGACTACTTCAAATGACAATGCTATGACAAAATTCATTGTCAATAACAGGACAGATGCATGAAAAACTGACGTCAATTTGTTTTTTATGATAACAAATTGTCAAATTGTGTCTGTTTGCTTATTAACAATGAAAATTTGCCTATGAGCGTGTAAGAATTTCTGCAGTAACTGTTATCGTAAAACATTGCTTTTATATCTTTTTCATGTAGCACCCTTCCCAGAGTTTGCAGCTCAGACAGATAGAGGGGAAGATGCAAGTAGAAAGCATGATTCTACTTCACATCAGGTATGACCTTGACCCTTTTAGTCCTGTGCTCAGGATTGATAATGTTAACTGAGGTAGGAGTTTGGTACATGTAGGACATCATCAGTTTATAGCTAATGATTTCTCATTAGTTTTTTTATTCTCACGTCTGCTTGATAATCATATAATTTTGTGTTGTAAGATTGAAAGTTAGCTGAATGTGAATCTTAGGCCCTGTCCACACGTATCCGGAAATATTTTTGAATCCGCAACTTTTTCTTTCCGCATATGGCCTCTGTCCCTACGCATCCTGCAAATTCGGCAGCGAATCCGGATATTTTTTTATCCGCTCTCCAGAGTGGAGAAAAATAAATCTGCAGTGAATTCGATAACGTGTGGACGGTGAATCCAAATATTTTCAAATCCGATAACGTAGCAAAATTGTGTCCAGTCTCTTACCAAACAATAAACCAATAAGGTGGCACAACCAGTAGGCCTAGTTTCACTAGAGTGAATCCAGATACCATCAGATGTGTGTGGACAGGTGAATTTGATTTTAATATGCTACGTGTGGACGGGGAAATTTTTGAATCAGAAAGGAAAAGTTGCGGATTCAAAAATATCCAGATACGTGTGGATAGGGCCTCAGCGACTGTTTCCAATAATTGTATTCATGGAACTTAGCATATACATGTAACATTGCTCTCTGTGGATTTAAGGAAGTAAACCTCAATAGAGTATTCATTTTTAAATTTTAATTAAGTTGTCTAAAATAGTATTACCCTCAGCTCTATAGCTACATTTTCTTTCCAAGAAATTCATCTTGCTGTGGAACACAATTTTTCAGACTCCTAGTAACACAGAGGAAGATGACATGGTCATAAGGAGAATTATTCCCCCAGCGAGGTAACAGTCGCAACATTTGCAAGTACTTGGTTCAATTTGATAAGAACCACATTATATTAAATGGAAGATCCTGATTTTGGTAGTAAGAGTTACGTGTACATTAGACTGAGTGTTACTGACATGATAAATTAAGCTGTTTGTGCATAAGGTGTAGAAGCTTTGTAATGTAGTGTCAGTTGCAGCCTTGCTGTTTGTCAACAAAAATAAAAACATTTTTTTCATTATATGTAACTCAATTTTATTGCAGTTTTAAAGTTACTGTAGTATTAAGCTACTCAAGGATTAACTAGTGCCAACTTAAAATTAAATTTTATAAGTTTTTAGTTATCATTTCTTAAATTTCTGTAATCACCAGATTAAACTTTTGACAGTGGTAGTACATTGCAACAACAACAGAAAAAGCTTGGTTAACTTTTTAACAGCATATACTTGTATAATTCTAGACTAATATTGAACAATGCTCTGGTTTGTTTCAGACTACAATCTCTAGAGGGTGGCTTTACAGTTATTGGAGATTCACAGCCAGTCAATTCAGAAAACCTCAGCCATAGGCTTAAAGTAAGACAAGTTGTAGTGATTGCATGTTAGACAGAATTTAATTGTAACCTCTAAGTGATGTTTTCAATTCATTTAAGTATCTTCTTTGGGAATACTGAGCTTTACAGTTGATCTTATAATAAATTAAAGTAAAAAAATTTCAAATTGTTTTCATTAATAATTGTAATTTGCTATCATTGTCAATCAAGAGATACTCAATGACCGAGTGCAATACTGAAATTTATATCATAACTAGCATTTATGCAATTTAAATAAACCATGAAGCAAACAAGCAAAAACCAGAATGTATTAGACAATGTGGTCTAAGTAATTTGAAGCATGAATATTTATTGATCATATTGATATATGTATAGTTTAGAGTCTTAACATTGTTCTTGGTTTCTGTTGAGTTTCAAATTTTGTATAATTCTACACATTGAAGTTGTCTTAAAATTAACGTGGCTTTAATTTTATGGAAACAAAATAAGTGGGTTATTTACTGCATGGTGAAGATGGATATTGACTGCTTTATTATTAATCCAAGGTCACCACTCAGCTGTTTTATGTGATGTCTGGACAGTCAAGCATTGACCATCCATTATGTGAAGAGTGTACGGACACCCTACTAGATCAGTTAGACCAGCAGCTTAAGATCACAGACGATGAACTCAAAGACTACAAAGTGTTCTTCAACAAGCTTAATGACAAACCTTCGCTAGATGGTGATGCCATGTCCAAAGAACTAGAAGAGCTTAGAAGGGAAGAGGAGGAATTGATTAGAAAATTGGAAGAAATTGAAATGGAAAGAGGCAAGGTAGCCGAAAAAATGGAATCAGAAAAGGAAAGGTCCAAACTACTTGAGATTGAAGAAAAGAAGTACTGGATGGAGTTCAGTGAATATCAGAAGGAATTGTTAGAATATGAAGATGAGCAACAAAGGTTAATTATTGTTATTTGTAACTTTTAGCATTATTTTTCAGCATCTGTTAACACCCCAAAATATCACAATTAGTTGTAGCATCAAAATGGAATTTTAGATGTTATAATACTGATGAACATCCCTGACTGAAATTTAAAAATTTGTCACAAGTACATTATTTTAATGGTATATCAAGTGGTGATAGCATTGATAGCATGGTAGTAATAATCTTTCTTTCTGCCCAGTGTTGATAATCAAATGAGATATGCTCAAGCCCAGTTGGACAAACTAAAGAAAACAAATGTATTCAACAGCACTTTTCACATCTGGTGAGTAGAAACCATTACATATTGAAGCTACATTGCCACCAGCTTCAGTGGCAATTGTACAAAGCCCAGTATTAGTGTGACCTGCAGTGCTGGAAACAATTTTTANTCAGTGATCCAAGATCACTCGGATCATAGTTCATCAAAGGAGCCCATGAATCCGTGACCAGAGTGGATCCATCGGTTCGTTTGATGCACCATGATCTGAGTGATCTTGGGTCACTGATCCTGATCCAGATCATCCCAACGGAACGCACCCTATATGTGCGTATTATCTTATCTTTATCGGGTCCTCTTTTCCTGTCTTGTTTTAGGTATCGTTTGGTGCCTTATGGAAATCATTCTTATCTAGAATCACTTACAGACAAGTCAAAGGATCTTCCATTGTGAGTAGCACAGTTAGCATTTGTCAGCTATGCTATTTGTAACTAAAGTGATTAAATATGTGGTGCCAGCATTTGTTTGGTTGCTCTGGTGCCCCTCTTTACAGCTGGGTTGAGAAAAGCATTGTTCCCCAAGAATACAATAAAAATTCCCGTCCAGGGTTCTGATGGGTAGAATTTTATGATTGCTTTGTAGCTTGCAAGACTCTGTCTGTACATTTGAAGTCTTCGGACTGCATTAGTTGATTTTTCACGAACAGAATTATCCCAAAGTAAACTATGAGGCCTTTTTTTTATTTTAAAGTTTCAATTATTATTTGATAAACTTGAGTGATTCTTTTCTCACCTTTATTTCAGGTATGGTTCTGGAGGGTTTAGATTCTTTTGGGACACAAAGTGAGTATAAGTTTAAGTGAAACAGGGCGAAGAATGGGAAGAGGTTTTTTCTGACTAATTCATTTGTACAGGTCCTCGCTATGTTTTCTACTCATTTCAGTACCCGATTGTGCCTGTCTGTTGGCCACTTTGCGGCCATTTAAGCTTAATTAAGCTAAATTAATGGCTGGAACAATAGCATTAACGAATTTGTTCGCTGAAAAAAAAAAATAAAACAGCTTTATGGCATGCAAAAACTTCTCAATGCCGGTTTTATCTTTCGTATTGTTCTCCGCCCAGAAAAGCGAAAGCAATCACTCCACTTTGACTTCGGCATGGTTACACTAGAGCTTTGAAAGAAGACCTGCCCTTGCATTCAACTGTTGTGTTGAGTTCGGTTGAACTCAGCCTTAGATTCGTTAACAACTTGAAATAAAAGTCTTGGAAATCAAATGGACTTACCTAGCACTGCAATGGTTTTCTTCGGTTTTCTAAGTTTCGTCCGCTTGCAATGTCGTCTTCATTTTAGAGCGAATTTCTTTGCAGTCTTTCGCCGGAGAACTAAAAAAGATATCCCGTTTAACCTTTTTAACTATGTTTGAATAAATTTCGCAGAGTTATTTGTCTGGGTTGAGGGGTTGAGGCAAAAACTAATGTAGTGCAAAGCTTTGAAAAGTTTGCCTCGTGTTTCGTCGTCACAAGGAGCTCGCTCAATCTTTTTCTCGCCATTCGCTTGAGCGCGCGCGCCAACAAGATACTTTGTGATTGGTTCAGGAAGAAATTGCACAGAAATCATGGCACGGTGATTGGCCAGTTGTTAGAATATATTAAACAGCCAGGAAGCCTTTTCTGGAGCTTATATCTGGGAAGTTGCTGACAATTTAACCGCTTTATAAAACTCGCACAATGTAACAACTGTTGGTACCAAAATCAACCCATTCAAATTCAGTAAAATTTTGAAATGTGCTACAGAAACGAAAATTGTTTCCAAGGGTTTTCCTTTTCGCCACGTCGAACGTAGCGGAAAGTTGAACAACTGACAGAAAAAAAAAAACATATTTTAGTAGCAAGAGATGAAAACAGTGTGAGGAAATTGTTTATTTTTCATGGGAAAACTTAAAACTGAGATTTGTATATTATTACTCTTCGTTCAACTGTCCGTCAATTGATGTAAGCATATATCTTAAATGTTCTCTCGCGAAAGTGTTGTAAGTAATACCATTTTAATTGTCTCTTTTTTAATTTCATCCAGATTTGATCAAGCGATGGTTGGATTTTTGGATTGCTTACAGCAGGTATTTAGATTCACTACTTCAACGAGCATATTCACTCCATGAGAACGGTTGCGACCAGATGACGAAAACAGTTCAACAAGTGTAAACATTGAACGCACGCAAATCATCTGTTTACAAGAACTCGAAAGGTTTTCCTGACTTCAGCATCTCTTGTAACCATGAAAATGTTTTGTTTTCGTGAAAAGAATCTGTGGACTTCAGTCGTTTCAGTGGCTCAATTCGGTAAACGCTGTCAAAAACAGCTTTTGGATTTCGTTATTGTCCGTTACTTCAAACAAAGCCCACGACATATTCTAATTAAATTTTCAAATGCAAGTTTTTGCGACTTTAAAAGGTTTCTTCTTTAGAGCATGCGAACTCTGGACGTATTTATCACGAACGTACGCAAACTTTGAGTTGAATTGCTGTTGTTCTCTGTTTTATTGCTTTTTACATTGTTCTTCTTTAGTTTAAAGAAGCAGTAGAGAAAGTGGACAAAAGATTTTGCCTTCCATACAGGTAAGAGCTTGTGAAAGAAACAGAGTAGAATGGAATAGATAAGAGTAAAATAGAAACTATTTTGAAGGCGTATCGTGTCGCCTCCGTGAAAAGTTGACACTAATAATTTTTGGCTGTTGGTTGATTTTCCCACAATTTTTTTCTTAATCTTACTTTTTATGTTGGAGTAAGGTTGTATCCGATCTGAAAAAGTTTGCATGTGGTCTGTGGAGAAATATTGTGGTTTAAACAAGAATTTGATGTGGGTTTTATTTCGACTATTGTAGGTTTGGTTTCGAGCGTGACACGTTTTTCTACAGTCACACACTACCTGGATTGCGTGACAAATTGGTAATAGTCATTCGTGACGTCACGGAGACGTCACTAAATATTTGTTTCAAAGTTTCACTACTTGTCTACAAACTCACCTAATTGGTAATGTGCATTCGTGACGTTGCCATGACGTCAGTAATTATTGATTAAATTAGCCTAATGACTTGTTTACGAACTCGCGTTAATTAGTTAATTGGCAATTATGTCTATGACGTGTACCCCACGAATTAAGTCATTTGCCACTTGCCACCGAACTGTCCAGACGTACTTTTTTTAGCTCCGTCGAAAAATTCACCAGAACAGTTCTAAAATGGCCAAAGCTCGCCGAGGTGCCAGGAAAGCAGTGGTAGCCAAGAAGAAGAGGGCCGCACGCAGGAAGGGAGGAAAAAAGCCCGCCCTTACCAGACAGGCGGTGGTCAAAGCCATCGCTGCGCTGAAAGACCGCAAGGGATCAAGCGCCAAAGCGATCTTGGCCTACCTTACATCGCAGCCTGGAACGAAAAGCGTTACTGCTCTGCAATTGAGGCTCGCCTTGGCACGCGGAGTGAAATCGCAAGCCCTCGTCAAAAGTGGCACTTCGTTTAAACTCAAAGTAAAGAGATCTCGATCCCGCTCACGATCACGCTCACGATCACGCTCAAGGTCACGCTCCAAGACACGCTCCCGATCTCGTTCCCGCTCAAAATCAAAGAGTCCGGGCAGGAAATCGGTGAAGAAAGTCACCAAGAAGGCCAAAGCAAAAGCGAGCAAAGCAAAAAAGGCCACCAAGAGACGTAAGGCCAGACGTGGCAAATCTGCGGCCAAGAAGCGCGCTGTAAAGAAATACTACAAAGGCACTCGTAAGGCAAAGAGAGCCGCGCCCAAGAAGGCACGCAGAGTCCGCAGGAGGCGTCGATCGGCGCGCAAGTGAACTATTGACTGTATAAAGGACTGGGATTTCGTTCTTTTTCCCTCTGTAGATACAACATTGTGACTTTAGATCTCTATAACGCTCTTCAAAGAGAACAAAGGACTTGACGCGCTGAATGAGTTTTAGTAAGCGAAGCTAGCAGGAATGTTTTTTTACTCGAAAGGATTGTGACACAGGACGACTTTGAATAAAACAAATAAAGCCAAAGATATGTTGTCTGTTTTCTATCATCAGGGGCTAATGGCAATCGAAAGCAAATATAAAGTTCCGAGTTTTGGAGGTGAAGGAACTAGGTTTTTAAGACGCGAGAGCAACAAATCGGTTAATTCCCAACGACAACAGTAACAATTACTAGTTAACACGTAATCATCTAATCAATCAATCAATCAATCAATCAATCAATCAATC